ACAAGAGGCCCTGCTAATCCTGCTAACAGAGAGGTCCAAAGTAAGATGCAGAGGCAGAATGAGAAGCTGTTCAGTGGTAGATGCATTCTAAGCTGAGAATGAGTGCAGGCGCGCTCACATCCCAGTATGTCAAAGGGCACAACAAAGATTTCAGAGAAATGTGCTTAAAAGGGTGTGTAGCTATTCTCTGATTTGAGATTAGGCTGCTTTTGCCCTTGGGGATTGTGATGTCCCACGTTATCGAAGGCAATGCTGAGCGCATTACAAGTGAAAGGGTGAAATGTTTTAGAGAAGTCAACACAGAACATTCAAATTCCTTTTTTGTTTACTCTCCCAGTGGTTGCAAAACATCCAAAATACAGAGGAAAGCTTAAAAGACAGAACTCCATTATTACAAAGAAAAGTCAGACGGAATAGCCATTCAAATCAACAGAAATCACAGTCAAGGGGACGGGATCAAATCTGTACAAAGCACACAGTTTGTCAGTAAGAATTGAAAGTATGACACTCTTTCTTCTATGAATACAAGTTCTTTGATGACCAGTTATGGAATCAAAGATATGTCCATAATCACTGTGCTAGCCAAAATGATTAGCATGGACTTCAAGTGTAGATAAGTCTCCTTTTAAAATAGCCTACTGCAGTACGTTAAAATATATCCTGAGAACCACAAATGAGAATGAACAGTTCCAAAATACATGGTAAACTGAAAAATACTTTTTTTTCCCCCCTTCATTTCTTTTTATAGCTCTCATAAATCTTTTAGCAAATAGATAAATAACCAAGGTACCAAAGTAACTGGCAAATTAAGAGGTAGTTTATGTAACAAAGCATCTCTGCCTGTGAGCACATCTTGCTGCCGAGGGCAGTACCATGCAATTCTGGAATGAGAAACCATGTATGGCCCTTGGGTGCTGTGCCAACCCACATGGCTACAATCAGGACTCAAGAGAAAATGCAGACATGTGACTGTTCATCCATACCAGCTTAGCTGAAAGGAATCCAGGTACCTGTAGGGCAGTAAAAACCATTTCCTATATTTTTTGTTTTCCCTAAGCATCAACATTGCTAATTGATGTATACATTGATAACTATATCAATAGATACATCTGTCTTTTAGTCTGAAGGAAGCTTTCATCTTAATAATCTTGTACTCTGTATATTTAGTCATGGCTTTATGTACTTGAATTGTGCATGTCACACGTACCCAACCATATTCAGATTGGTATAAGTGGAAAGAAAAACTGCTTCTGGAGGAATGACTTTAAACTAAAAGAAGGGAGGCTTAGATAAGATATTAGGTGGAGATTTCTTATGAGGAAATTGGTGAACTGGTACAGGCTGACCAGAGAAGCTGGGGATGTCCCATCCCTGGTAGTGTCCAGGACCAGGCTGGATGGGGACCTGGAAGCCTCATCTGGTCGTTGGCAACCCTACCCACAGCAGGGGGTTGGAACTGGATGATCTTTATGTTCCCTTCCAACCCAAGCCATTCTATGCTTCAATGATTCTATACTGCATTTTGTTAGGATGCAACAAGATCACAACATCTGACATAAGCTCTTGGTGGTGAAGTGCTGCACTGTATACAAGAAATCATCCTCCTTCTGAGGACTTTACACAAAAAATATGTGTCTGTTCAAGGAATATATTTCTCCTATGTGATCTTACAAACTGATACTGGTCTGTGATGAATTGGTGCACTAGAGACAGTGTGCTGAATTAGATAAATTTGATAGTTTGAAGTAGCAGGCAACTCCTGTGATGTTGCTGCATTTGAATAGAATAATAATGCATATCTTACTATCTCTTCCAAAAAGAAACCCAGAGAAACCCAAATCTAATTACATTTCCATCATGAAAGTGCTCTACACAGACTGCTGGGTCTGGCAGTTCACCGGAGTCTTAGGACAAGATTCTGATAGGCTTTTCTCTCACATTCCCATGAGTGATATTTCTTCACGTAGTCTTTGGCCCTTGTTACAATTTCTCTTTTCATAATGGGGTCATCCATCAAACTCTTGGACAGCACAACAAACTCCTAAAAAAGATAAAGAAAATAATAAATTAAAAGTTCCTTGAAGTTCTTACGATACTGAAATAACCCGTGCCTGTATCTTAGCTACAGTAAAACTCTTCATCTGTGTGCCAATATTGGAAGGCTGTTTAAAGTCATTTTTTTCAAGGTCAGATATCATAGTTTATTTATAAACAATGATTAATAAATAATTATATCTTTTATTCAGCCCACCAAGTCATTTAAAACCAAAGATAAATCCCAGGAGCGTTAAGACAAATACACATACAGCAAAATTTAATGCCACAAAAAGCATTTGCTTACACAAGTGTTACGAAGCCAGGCCAGCTATAAATTAATTAAACATTCACCTGCTCCCTTGCGTGGAGCACAGCTGGCATCAGAGTATCTGATCTTAAACTTCATTGCTATTGTAACATCATTAGTTAATTTTGTAGTGAGACTGGAAAACTCACTACATAAAGACTGTGACAGTATGAAGGTAAGAGCAGGCATGTGGCAACAAGCTCTTACAAAGCTGTTGCAGATGGACAGTTGTAGATCCAGTGTAAGCTCAACATGCTCTACAAAAAAAAGCTGTATACAAATTTCCTATATTTGGCAAAATACTAGAACTGGCAGATTATAACAATTCCTTTTTCTGCTCATCTGCCACTCTAATTTACTTCTAGGGAAGAGAATTTGTGAACTTCAGGTGTGTGAAAGGAGATTTGATGTCTGAACTAATCTGAGCAGCTGGTCTAATATTCTATCGAGAGACAACTTCTGATACTTCAGCTTGATTGCAAATGGACTCTGATCTTTGCAGAATATTGTCTTGGTTCAGCTCAGAAATGAAGATAGCTATTGTGCCAGAGGAAAATTAAGATCCTACATTGGTACATAATTGATAGTGCAGATAAGTGTATAAGGACAAGGGGGACAAGAAGGGATGGGAGAAGGAGATACAGTTCATACAAACTGTCAGCAGTGAAAGGAAATATCACAAATAAGCCCAGCATCTATATCTACACTAGGTGAACTAGTAAACTATACTTGGAAACCTAGGTGCCCAATGTATTTAAACAAATATTTAGATATAAAATATTTGGCTACCACAGAATCGATGCTGTTGCTGTAATGCAAGTTATGGCTATGCATAATACATAACTATAGTGGGACCCGTGGGAGACAGTGGTACATGAAATCACATCAAACATGTTATAATCACTGCCCTGATTCTCACTGACAAGACAAACTATCAATCTATACAACTCTGACATGAAATTTAAACAAGAGGTGCACAGGTTGGTTCTGTTGGAAAGATGTGTAACTAACTGTAGATACTAGACAGATTACTTTCACATATGAATTTTAACAATAACCTCAAATTTAACAGAAAAATCAGCACCAGGCTGTAATCTTTGCACAGATGCTTTTCAGCTTGCATGGCTAATGGATGCAAAACCTACTCTCCCTGCCCAGAGATCTCAGCACATTTCTCCCCACACACACTTCACCTGTGCCCAGCACACCACATGCTCTCCTCCCTGCATTTGCAGGACTCCAGCCAAACTTCAGGCTCTCTACTGCCTTCCCAACCACTGCCTCTGGAATAGCCCTGAGGGCCACGTACATGCTTCATCCAGCCTGCTTTCCATCCACAACTACCCTGTACTCAGGTGTTTTCTGATAAGTAGGTCTGGTCTAGTGAGTAACCTGAGGCCACATCTATCCGACACTGCAGATACAACCAAGGACTCCAACTCTGGAGATTTGTTCTTTTCCTTCCTCCATATCTGCCAAGAATACAGAACAGGGAAGGTGGGAAAGTCTTACGTGACTTATGCTGGTTTCATCCAATTGCCTGTATAATCATGGTAATAAATACTCTTCACACTGAACTACATTCCAACTTTAATTTTATGCTCCTGTGGAGGATTTTATTTAAAGTAATGTTTAAAAATAATTTATGTAAATTACCTAAGAACAGAAGCAGTAAAGTAATATTTCTTGACAGGTAGTCCTATTAGCATTCTTTTAAAACGTGGCTATAGAGGACAAAAACTTGGAAACATGTAAATGATAGAAGAAATGAGATCCTTATTCACAGTTACAATACTAAGAGCTGGCGATAATTTCAAGAAAAATGACAAACTGAGTCCAAAGCATGAAAGTTGAGAAGCTGCAATAGAGAGTAACAACAAATGGAAAAATACTGGGAGGCTGGGAATGAGGATTTCTCAGCTTTATCCTTACTTCTGCTACTCAAATGCGACCATCAGCTAGGCGTTCTCTGACTGGAAGCCAATGGGAAGATTTGCTATGACTTATCTAGGTTTTGCCTCATATTCCCAAAGCATCTGGCTTAGCTTGTTTTCAGTTTTGGCTACTGAGCTCAGGTCAGCATTAACTTCATTTTTCAGGTGTCACCCTTTCTTTAATTGGAAAAGCCTGTGATGTGTGAACTACTTAAGGCATGGTACCATGCCTTAATCAGCAGTTATGCTGTATTTGTGCAATTGATATTCACATGAACATTTGTGCACTATTATTTTATTGTAGATGTGAAGTATGTTTCACGTTTGGTGAAGGAGCAAAATTCATGTTACTTTTCCATTATCAAACATGGTGATACACACTTCTAAGGCTACCATGAGAGAGGTGATACATACACTAACTTAATGCTTGAGGGATAACAAGATATCTAATAAGCCTTTTGTTTGCATATAGGAGTAAAATTACTGTAGATGTCACAGGAAAACACAGTGTAAATTTGAACCTCAGCAGTTAGCCATAAACAAAATAGGGGGAAGATCATCTTATGTATATCCAGAAGTATATTACATGTGCTGTGTAATGGAAATTCTGACACATGACCTGAAGCAGTGATGGAGCAGCTGGTGGGAAGGCAGGGCCAACCCAAAGAAGCTCAGGTGTATGCAGTGCAATGCACCTGTGTGATTGGAAGGAGTAGAGCCAGGATCCACCCCCTTCCCAGACCTCATTTAAGGGTTGGCAGCCCAGGTAAAGGCATCTCAGTGGAGATCCTTGCATTCCTAAGGCTTTCTGAAGGTAAGCAGATTTGTTTGTTTAATTTTATTTCTGTGCCAGCAGCTGTTGCATTTGAGCGGATCCTCACTTGCTGCAGTCTGTGACCTTGCTGCTCTGCTTTTCACTGTGTTACGGTCTTCTTTATGAGTAATGCTTCACAGGCATTTTTCAGCAGTGACATTCATGTTATGTTTTTCTCCTGGTAAACTGGCCAATCATTTTTAAAGACAATACCAACTTATCTAATACCTAAACAAAGTTCAGTGAGATTTTTTTTTGCAGAAGCCCAGAAATACCAGTATCTATCTAAAAAACAAAGCTAGAAAATGAACTGAGAAAAGAGAATGAATGTTCTTTCAATTACTACAGGAATCATACTGATGCTATGGTGATGAAAGTAAAATGTATGATTTATTTATTATTTATAGAATGAAAGTAAGTCTGCAATTAAACCATTTTGTATCAGCTTCAGCAGATAAAAGAACATGATTCTTAAACATCAGAGAATCACCCCAGGGAAGGTAAATGCCAGCTGTATGTAAACTCAGAATAGTGACAGATCTACCTTATGGCAGGCAAAGCCGAGAAGTTACCTGGCATGTCTGTGTATTTCATAGAGCAACAGGTCAGTATTGCTGAGGGAGCATAAGCAGTAATTGCTGGCACTGCACGCCGTCACAAATTAAACTATTCAGTACCAAGGTTCAAAGGGCTTAAAAACTTCAGCTATGTTCTGGCTTGATGTCCTGGTAGGAATGGCACTGACCCACGTTTGGCAGAGGAAAGCCATGTGCACTCAGTGTGTTGCTGCCAGTAGCCAGCTGAGCTGTATTTCCCTCTCGCAACTTCAAAAGTTTTCTCTGCTAACAGTAGTCCTTCCAGGTCCTGCATGCACTCAAACTCAGTTAGTGTTTGGCTCCTCTCTTTCTGGCTTTGAAGTTTGTTTACCTACTTCTGTTTATTTGGCTCCTTTGGTAAGTTTTCACAGATGCTGGACGTATAATTTTGAACCTTAGGGTGCAGAATAATTCTTTGTGTTTTCTCATTTAATGTGGTTTTGCATTATTTATTGCCCCAAAGTAGCTGGCTGTTCTCTCTTCCTTATCATTTTTTCTTTCAGATCCCATTAACTCAGTGTCAAATATTCCATAAACTTGCAAATTCAAGTAATGGCTGGATCAAGCCATGATTTAAAAGTAAGGTGTGCAGATGATGTAGTATCAAGGACAAAATGTTTCATAGCTTTCACCTTTAGTTTAACTGCTATTTCCATCTCCATATTATCTTCAGTGATTGGCAAGACTTTATATTCAGACACGAAGCCTCAGCATATATGCAAATAGTTAATGGTGACTACAATTCAGCCCAAAATATTTCTACTTGCCTGTAAGATGTGAAAGTTCACTTCCCAAGTATAAATGAAGAATACCAAATGATCACAATTGAAAGTGATGTCCATTGTATAAGAATCAGTGTATATCCCTCTAATTCAGCTTTCAGTGGATAGAGCAGTCCACAGACCAGACACAGTGACTTTTAAACTAGCCACATTGTGAAGCCTCTCCTACCCAGATCAGTAACAACTTGAAATTAAGCAATGTTTTATACTCCTGACCTATACATACATCACAAGGAAAGAGAATCTGCTGAACTTAAGCACTGAAGTTTTCTTCAACCTTTTTCTTAAGTCTTTGATGGCCCAGGTTGTTCAAGACAGGGACAGATTTTCCCAGCCATGGACACCATACTAATCTTTCCCCAATCCTTTTAAACCACTTTCTTTGAAGTGTAACACACTGCAAGTCAGTCACAGCGTGAAGGACTGCAGCCATTCACATCTACTTTGAGTATCCTACATGGTTGTGGGGTTTTCTTGTTTGTTTGTTTCTGGATTGAGGTCTGTTTTTAGCTTTGGGCCAAAAGAGAAGAGTGGGTTTTGTGTGCAGAGCAGCATTTTACCTTCTTTTGTTTGACTTTGCTGAGCACAGATTTTGACAGTTTGTAGTGTATCCCTTTAGACCAACCTTTCATCCTGTGACTAAAGGACAAGGCTGCGTGACAAAACAGACATGGCAGTGTCTGTAAAGGCCTGTCTCTGTGTGAGATGAAATAAACACTTCAATTTGCAGGACAGAGACAAAAGGACAGAAGAATGAAATAGTCTAGGAATTTGAGTAGGATGAAGTTGAGATTTGGCACCCTCCTGAGATGACAAAACCTCTACTTCAAGAACCTTTTTTTCTTTTTCCTCGTGGAGGAATGGGTAGAGTTGAGCAGCTGAAGAGAGACAGTTCTTGTGTATGTAAATAAAACCTGTTTTTTCCAGTGCAGTCTGAAAAGGGAAGCTGCAGGAGAAGGGAGGACAGAGCAGTTTAACAAATTGCCCCAGAGGTGGAGATAAGAGGACATATGGACATCAGGATGGGGAAAAGGGGGAGCAAACTGAGTTTTATGTGTTCCTAGTTGTTTTGGTGTTTTGTTTTGTTTTTTTTCCTCATTGTCCCTGTTTTCTTAAGAACGAATGATGTATTGAAAAGGAAATGAACGTATGAAAGGAATTTCTTGTGGAAGAGCAAGTTTCTTTAACTGCTGTCTATGAGAGTAGCTATAATTACCAGGAAGAACATGGCAAATACTTGGGAAAGCTGACAGTTTCCAAACAGTTTTGGTTGATTTGTTTCTGATAGAACTAATGTAAGAACAAGGAAGACTAATGTCACTGAAGTTGTAGAAGAATATTCTAGCAGATATCGAAGGTGTCAGAGTAATCAGAATAACAAAAAAGAGAATGTTTTTCCATCTCTGTTGTCACGCTGAATCTTTAAAGGCAACATTCGAGGTGCTGTGGACATTGTTTTTATTTCCAAGATTAAAACAAAGAGAAATGCCTTGAAACTGAAAGTGTTCTGACTGAATCACATTTTTTGATCTAATGTAGCTCTTGACTTCTGATAGACAGTAAATAGTGATTTTAAAACTGTATTTGTTATGGTTTGGAGAGACAAGAAGCTACAAAATGAAATGGTTACTTTATCTTTAGAACCATGAGTGAAAATGATTGGCATTTTGTGCATGTCTGTGCAAGGAGAAAGTTCTTCAACTTTGCAGTGGGATTAAAATGTTATCCTGCAAACAAAAAGTCCTCTGGCCCATCAGCAAACGTTGATGTTTTCCACATTATTTGACACCAATAATATTATAAAAAGGCTTTTATAAAATGAAGTGAAACCAGTCATAGATATCATTGGAACTACTGTGCTTAAAACTGTGCCTTTCTCTAACTAAGGAAATATATAGCATATTTTAATTGATCTTGAATTCCAAATAAAACTTGGAACGTAAGATGCTTTGAGATCACAGAAGAAGCTTCATATGAGAATGTATGATGAAGCTAATTGGGTCTGGTATGAATAATGTATCTGAATTCTATGCCAGATACAAGCAGAATGTAGAGGGAAACACCAGAATGAATCAGAATTAATATCAGTAGAGCCATCTCTGTGCATGTTCAACATGATGATTTATCCTTGAAGTTTTGAAGAAGCATATGGAAGGCAAAGAGCTGTTTGCAGGGAATAAATGTATAAATAATTTTACAAGTACCTTTACATCTCAGCCTCCATTATCCTGAAAGCATCCCATTTTGAAAGGGTATTTCAAGAAGAGAGCATGCTTCCCCAGCAAAAAACATTCCAGAAACTTTGCTGTAGAAACCACTGGAAACATTGAATATTCCAGGAAAAAAAAGGAAAAAAAAAAAAAGAAAAAAAGAAAAAACATAACCTGCATGAATGTTTCCATGTCTTTAAGTATAATGGAACTAACAGAACTCACCTGCCTGAAACACCACTTAATAGGATACATTAATCACACACTCCACAAAGTGGTTAATATCATACACCTTGTACTTCACAAAATTATCAGATACACTGTTCCAGTAAACCGTATTTGATCCTGAGTTGGGTAAAACACTAAAAATTTAGCTAATAGTTAGTATCTAGGGCATTCTGTTTTATGGAATAATAACCATTTTTTTTTTTAATGCTTTCTTCCCTAATTGCTACCATGTTTATATTATTGGTTTGGGTCTCAAATTCTAAAATGAGTGAGTTCTTGCAAAATAGGTTCATAACTAATTTGGAAACTAAATATGAGATTTCTTTGTATGATGGTTTACATATGATGGGAGCATGAAATGATTTAAGAAAGTATACTAAACTAAGCAGAAATATTCCTTTAACCAAATGTCAATGTTAGTCCTTAGAAAAGGGGAAAAAAGAACCAAAAGAATTCTCTGTGTAATATTTATGAATGGGGACTTTCAAAGTAGCTATCATAACCTCTCTGGTATTTCTTCTGTAGAGGAACTCTATAAGAAAAATGAATGAACTGAGTATAGGAAGTTGTGTCTGAAACACACTTTTTTTTCTATACATCTATATAAATATATAACAGCAAAGCCACAATGCAAAAACAAAACAAAAAAACCCTCTCTCTTCCCACTGGAGAAGTTTCATAGAAACTCTATTCTGAAACTTTGCTCGATTTTAGTCATTAATTATTTTCTGACTAAGCAATATCTTTGACTTAATAATGCTTTATATTAACACTTACTGCTGGACATTATAGATAATGTATTATCTAAGACTTCAGGCTCATACTTCTTTCAGTTAGCTTTGGGTTGTGTAATACAAGTTCATATTTAAGTTAGTGCTCAAAAGGAAAGACGACAGATGCATAACGTTTATTCCAAGGCTTTCTTATGGAACCTTCAAAACTGAAGTGCTTAAGTTGATGAGAACTGAGCCCCATTCATTTGGCAGGCTCTACAGCAGCACAGGCTAGACAAACATTCAGCAAGGCTGACACCTAGTAAAAGTTCAGCGAATTGCAAAGTGAATGTGAGACAACAGCAGAGCTTCCAGTCAGGCGATTTAACACCTAGAGTTTTAGAGGGAACTGAGGAAAACTGTTCAGTGAAGAAGTTGAGTTCCTGGAGAGACATTAGCATGTAACAGAAA